AGTGTGGGAACAAGGTGGGGATGGGGAGAGAACTCCTCGCCTCGCAAGGACCCCGATCCCCACCCCATGGAATCCCTACTAATATATATGTATGTATACGTTATATATGTATATATGTACACATACATCTATATATTAATATTTTTAAAATTATAGTTGAATATGTTTGGATCTTTTCTAATATGATTGTAAATTTTAATTATTTTATTTTTACTTTTTTAAATAAAATAAAAACAAAAACAAAATGGTTAACATTATAAAAAATCACGGGGAATAGGAATCCCCGTGGGAATGAGGATGGGGATTGATAACATTGTCCTCGTTAGAGGGGACAGGGACAGGGATGGGGATTTTCACGTGGACGGAAATGGGAGAGACTCCCCATCCCCACCCCGCCCCATTGCCATTCCTAGATCCAATCCAATCAGCTTCTCCTGCTAAAGTTGAGGTGGCGACCCGGCAATTGCCACCAAAGGAACCATGAAACTTCTCACTTGGAATTGCCAAGGTGCGGGAGGTCCTTCGGCAATTTGACACATCAGCAAACTTCTCGACTCTATACTCCAGAATCTTTCTGTCTGAAACAAGTTGCAATGATTCAAAATCTCACAAGGTGTGTGGTCGTTTCACTCAGTACCAATTTACCATAGTGGCAAGTAAAGGTAAAAGTAGTGGACTATGGTTGGGGTGGGACCACTCTGTTCAATTAACTATTCTCACTAAAACCAATCATTATATTGTTGTTTCCATTCAAAATAAACCAGCTTCCTATGCTTGGACTTTAATTTGTACGTATGGGCATCCACAACTGGCAGGGAGAGCACAAATATGGTAGAATGTTCATGAAATTTGCATGCAATTAAATACACCTTGGTTTTTAATTAGAGATTTCAATGATCTTGGTTGTAACAACAAAAAGGTGGGGAGTTGAGACGTTAACCTATCTTCTTTATCTGGCTTGACTGTATTTATGCAAACTCACCAACTACTTGACCTGGGTTTTCTTGGTCCTATGTTCACATGGTCTAATAAAAAATCTAGAGACCTAATACATGAATGACTTAATAGAGAAATGCAAAGAGTTGGTTGGATTTCTTTAGATCAGCCTGGGTCCATCATCTTTCCATTTTGGGGAGCGATCATTCCCCTATTGTACTTTAATTTCCACAACCAAAGTCAAGCGTAGAGGTTGAAAGCTATTATGATTTGAAGCTACATGGATGAAAGAACTTGGTTTTCACGGCTTGAAAATCATTTCAATAATGATGTTGAGGGCGATGGAATCTAATAATTTACATGATCTGAAGATTGGAATAAGCGGGTGTAAATTATCCCATCTCATGTTTGCTGACGATATTTTGTTATTTGGTAGAAGTACTCCAGTGGAGGCCCTACATGTGAAGGACCTTCTAACCCTCTTTGATGAAATGTTTGGACATCAAGTCAATTTCATTAAGTCTTCCTTATTATTTAGTAAAAACACTCACCATAGAACGCGAAACATTACCTACTCTTGATGTACAGATTATGGACTCTAAAGAAAAGTACCTTGGTTGTCATCTACTGGAGCCAAGGTTTTTAAAATCGACTCGGAGAACAAACCGATCAGGGGTCTGGTTCTCGGGTCGAACGGTCCGACCGTTCAAATTGAACAGTTGGCCCATTCTAACAAAAAAATGGACAAAACTGTTCGAACAGTTCGAATGATTAATCGCCCGAGTCAACAATTTGCTGACCAAAATCAATGATTTTTGAGAAAAATTTGATTTTGGGGAAAAATGGAACTGATCACCTGATCGGTTCCTGATTTTCCGATTCGGTCCGGTTTTAAAACCATGATTGGAGCTGAATACTATTAAAGAAGATTGTCGAATAGTGAAATGTCAACATGATTTGCATATGGGGGCCCTTTGGGTAGTAGGCAATGGATGCAGCATTGATACACAGTTTGATCCATGGATACCTGGTTTTTCAAATTTAGTAATGGATGCAATCCGAGCTCATAATACCCAATGTACCAAGGTAGCCCACCTAATAGATACACACACTCATGAGTGGAGAGATGATGTATTGGAACAATATTATATAGTAGGTGAAATCAATACTATTAAACAAATTCACCTCTAAAAAGATATACTCCAGAGAGAGGATTGTTTAGTGTGGACAAAAAATGCCTCAGGAGATTTAACCACCACTGCAACCTATAGAGTATAAAGCGTTACATCTTCAAGAAGGTTAGGCCTCCACTACTCTACTTGTTTTTGGGAATATTACTTGGAAACAATTTTGGCATATCAAACATCTACCACCTGTACATTTATTTATTTGGCGTGGGATTTACAACTTGCTAACGGTGAGAGATGCACTTGCAAAAAAAAAAAAAACACATCGAGTATATAATTGTTGCCCATTTTGTGGTTCACATGAAGAAACCATTACTCACCTCTTTTTTCAATGTAGCGTCTCTCACGTAGTGTGATTTGGTTCTTTTATTGGCCTATATATTGATGAGAATAGTGATCATTCTTTTCATGATTGGTGTGCAATGTCGGATCAACAAACTGATGTATTTAATTCCTCAACAGTTTCTTTATTTGCTAAATGTGCAGTCATTTTATGGCACATTTGGAAATCCAGGTGCAAGGCTGCATTGGATAATTGGGTGGTTAGTATTTCATTTATCATTAATCGGGCTTAGAGCAAATTCAACAAATGAATCAAACTAAAACTGTTAGCTCCTAATTTTTGCTCGGTCCCTTTACCCTACTTCTTTGTACCCTTTTCTTACCCCAAAAAACTTAGAAACACAATCAGACCAATTTGAAACTTTCCAAAACCTGAAATACCCTCATTTGACAGAATCCACGGGACAAATAAGAACATTGAGATCAACATCAACGTCTGATCAGACATCATCCCCAGACTTGGAAAACTATAACTTAGTTATACATCAGTTTTCGTGACTGAACTCCAAGGATCCACCATTCATCACACCAACTCCCTTTCCAATGGTCCAAATCTATGCAATATTCAAACTCTAACTCTTCAAAATCAAATCCAACACACCCATCACCTCAAGATCACTTGGAAGCAATCAATTAACGAATCCCACCACAAATTTATGATGATTAACTGCAAAAACACCAACATCCCATTTTAAAGGCTCTGAACAATTACTAAGGTCGATCATATGTTTCTCAGATTAGAACTATCTGCTTGATACCTCACCTTAATTCATGCTTATCCACCAAATTGTATTTCAAAATTCTCCTATTTGACACACCATCAAGCCTATATCCCATTTTAGCAAGTCTCATTAATTAGAGCATACCATCCTTCATCCCAACTTCATATGACCAAATGGACCTTACCACTATGTTCAGAAACCCAAAAAACCTCAAAATATCAATTTCATGACTAAACTCTTCTATTTGACCATTAAAAAAGTAAGATTCTATTTCAGACCTTCTCGTTGATTGAAAAACTATAAGATGAGAACATGATTTGAACTAAATTTGTTAATCTACACCTTTGATGAAAGATCTATAGCTTTCATCAGATTCAGGATGATAAAAAATTCCTACCTACCAAATTGTAGCTCAAAATTCCCTTGTTTGATCATTTATCAAACCAAGATCCTATTTTGGTAATCCTTATTGATCTGAATTTGTCAGCCATATATCTCAGTCATCCTAATGCTATTTGACCAATCAGACATCACCACTGTGTTCAGAGACCTAAAAAACCCCATCACGCTAAATTTTATGACCAAATTCATCTGTTTGACCGTTAAACTAGAAAGAGACAATTTCAACGCACCAAATTAAATTGTCACATCATCGGTTCCGACCTGAAGCCTCAAAAGGGTGATGGCTGATGCCAAACACATTCGTGACCAGTTAGGACACTTGAACCAATGAAATAGAGCTTAGTAGACCCAAAAAGCCCAAAAAACCAAGATATCCTTACTTAAAACCAATAAAAGACAAAATGAGATTTTAAAGTTCATCAAATTTATATTTTTTGCCACTAATAGATTACAATGACAGACATGCCCAAACTCCCATTAGACGTACAAAACCCATGAAAACCACTCCCAAATTGAAGAAAATGTTTCACCAAATAGGAAAACTTCACTGTGCATTTGTTTTTTTTAAAGAATCTTTACCTATATGTGTGAAAAATCGCTATTGAGTCCTATGCCTTATAGTTGGACGAGTATTAGACCCTTTCTCTTCATTTTTTCTCTATAAATAAAGGCCCAACTTGAGCCTAAGGGGAGGGAGGGGGAGTTTCCCAACTTTTGTAATACATCCATTTTACTTGAAATCCCAAAATCTTTGAAGTCAAGCTCAAGTTTCAAATTTGTTTCCCTTGTTTTCCAGACTAACATCAGAAACACTTGGCCCAACTTCCTAAGTTGCTCAAGCTTCGTTTGAAGTCTTTCTAGCTACCGGAAAGTTTGTTTCAAGGTCACACACATGAGAGGTAAGTATTTCATTCCATCGTCTCTCTATTTTTAGTTTAGTTTCTGATTGCTTAGAGTCTTAAAACCATGGTAAATTTGCATTCCTAGTTTCCTCTAAATTAAGAAAAAGAGGTAGAGAGGCGAAGGCCTTAAGGAAACCAGTACTTAGGGCCCAATAACATCGATTCAGATCAATTTTGGGCGAAGTTGAGAATGTTTTCGCTAAATTTTAGGAGCTTTAGGCAATCCTATTAATTCACCTTTTACTAGAATTTGGGCACAAACATCCCATATTGGATTGTCAAAGTAGTTTGGAGAGAGAGGTGCCTAACACCTTCCCTCTTTCAATTTTTAGAATTCAAAATCTCCTTGCCTTTTTTATGGAGAACAAAATCACTATAAAAAATTAAGTCAATTTTTCAAATCTGAAAATGAGAGCCTATTTATTTTAAAAAATGGGTGACGATTCCGAATCGGCCATAAACTTTAAAAGTCACAAATACCAATCCATTAACTAAAATGTCTCTAACCCATGATGGCAACAGATGTTGGAGAAGGCCACCTATGGGCAAGTTTAAACTAAAATTTGATGGTGCCACGGGAGATGCGAATTCTGGAGTTGGTTTTCTTATACGTTATCCTAATGGTGCCTTTGTGTTTGAAAGAGCAATGAAAATACCACGACTCTCCGCTGCTGAATCAGGGGCTTTGGCATTACTTGAAGCTTTAAAACTCACCCCAGAGCTTGGGTTGAATTTAAAACTCATCCTTGTTGGAGACGGACAAATCTCCTCCCTGGCGACTAGAAAACATTATTGCTGATTGCGGAGCTTAGCTGAACCACACCTCTCAGTGCTCAGTTCATTATGCTCCTAGGTCTACTAATTCGGTTGCTCGTTGTATAGCTCGTTTTGCTTTATAGATATGTTTGTCCTTCCTTGTATTGAAAAGGACTGTAACCAAAGCATATGCCTAATGAATTTGTCTCATCGGGCTTAAAAAAAAATGTAGCCGATCCGAATCATCAAAGCATGTGTTGCACGAATCAGAGTCAATACGGTCATGCGGAAGAAAGTTTTGACTTTTGAAGTTCGTAGCCGTTTTTGGAGGGAACAGCTACTCGTAAACCGTCGTAGTTCATGGAATCTGCGCAAGTACTTTTTTTTTTCTGGGATTCTCGTTTCCTCAACTTACCTCCGGATTCCTACAGCCCCTCACCACCATACCCATCTGATCTCTCTAGCTTCTCTTCATGGCTGCCATGAAAACCCAACGCGCTTCTTCGTCAACTCGTCGATGGAACTATGACGTCTTCTTGAGTTTTAGATATGAAGACCACCGTAGGAACTTCACCGATCAACTCTACAGCGCTTTGGTCCAAAGAGGGATTTACACCTACAAAGACGATCGGGAACAACTAAAGAGAGGACAAGCGACCTTCTCTCAACTGCTGAAAGCAATCGAAGAATCAAGGATCGCGATCGTTGTTTTCTCGAGGAACTACGCTTCTTCGAGATGGTGTCTCGATGAACTCGTGAAAATCTTAGAATGCCGGAAAACGATGGGTCAGTTGGTTCTTCCAGTTTTTTACGATGTCGATCCGTCTGATGTTCGGAATCAGAGTGGGAGTTTTGCAGAAGCATTCGCCCAACACGAAGAGCATTTTAAGGCGGTGGAGATGATGGAGGAGGTCCAGAGATGGAGGTTGGCTCTCACTGAAGCTTCTAATCTGTCTGGGTGGGATCTACAAAATGTTTCCTTCAGGTAATCGTTACTGAAACTACATCCCTATTGCTTTATATTTGATTAATTACTAAATATAAGAATTGAAATGTTTGAATTCTTAAACAAGATCTGTAGGATCTTTGAGTCATTGTTGAAGAGTTGCAGAGAGAAATCTTTGAGAATTTGGTAATTATTTGACAATAACCGTTTCCTATCAAAGTTTAATTAACTTCCTGTACCATTCTTGTTTTTCTCTCCCGTTATTTCTAATTAGGGTGAAATGGGTACTCGATTACTTGAATTGGACCCAATTCTAGTCTTGCAAAATACTGAGATAGGAGGATTACACAACCGTTACATCATACTCAGAGCGCCTGCAGCTGAACCATTGAACCAACGCAACTTTGCCGGCCTTACAACTATTTTATTGGAATTTCCTTTTAATCTTAGTGGTATTTTCCTATCACATTGGTTTTGAGTACAGCACTCTATTTTGGTCATCCTACTCCAATTCTATTGATGACATCCTCCTCAATCTCTCATTTGTTATGAACTATTGAACCAAGGTACCAGAAAAGGTTAAGTGTGCCCTGATTTACTCTCCCATTATTATTAAATTTGCATTGCATATATTCTTATTTACTCATACTTATTTTAAAATCTCTTGTTTCTAAGGTAATCCTCCATAAACTTAATTTTGCATTTAATACTTCATTAATTTCATCATTTAAAACAATGTCATTAGCAAATAACAAAGCACCATGGGACCTCCTCCTATACATGTCTAGTCAATTTGTCGATGATTAGTGCAAATAAATAAGAGTAAGCTTTGAACCTTGGTGAAGATCCATTGTAGTGTAAAATCTGATGTCTCTCCCATAGGTGTTCTAACATTGATTGTTGCACCTTCATACATATCCTTAATTAGCTAAATATACCTATTTGGCACTCATTTCTTTTCCAAGACACACCATTATTATCTCTCTAGGATACGCTTTTTCTAGGTCAATGAACAACATATGAAGATATCTCTTTTCTCTTTCTATTTTTTTTTTTCTAAAAATCATCTCAAAAGAAAGATAAATTTCATCATTGATGTCCACAGCATAAACCAAAATTGGTCTCTGATATACTTGTTTCATTTCATAACTTTTGCTCAATTAATCTCTCCCAAAGGTTCATAATGTGGTTCATGAGTTTAATCCCATGATAATTATTACAACTTTGTGTATATGCATTTGTTCTTAAATATAGGCACCATAGTGTTCTTTCTTCATTCATTAGACATCCTTGTTTCCAGTGTTTTCGAACCGTTGTTGACCTGGATGGTTGGACCGTTCGGCCCGGAAACCGTTCAGGCAACCGATTCTGTTTCACCCGTAACCCATTCCTGGGTCAGAAATCGTTGATTTGGTCAGAGAACTTCTGACCCAGACAGTCGAACTGTCGACCTGTTCGACCTGGGCAGTGGTTCATGTTTTTATAGAATGATAGGAGATCATGAGATGGGGAAAGACTGAGACTCAGATATGAGATTAGATCCTTGAGATCTCAGAGAAGAAATATTGCAGATCTGAGATCTCAGAGAGATCCGAAGTTGCCGCTGCGTTTTCTGTTGCCGCCGCCGTCGTCGTTGTCACCATTGTTGTTGAACATTGGATACTCCTCCTCCTCCTCCTCTTCCTTCTTCCCTCCTTCCCCCCTTCCTTCTTTTTTTCCTCTTTCTCTCTCTCTCTCTCTCTCTTTCTCAGCCGACAACTACATGTCTTTTTAAGTTTTTTTTCTTATAAAAGACTAAGGATAGTAAAGCCCTAATTTTCCAATCTCATCAGACCGCTTGAACTGTTCTACCTGGACGGTTGAACCACTGGCTTGGAAACAGGTGGCCAGAACGGTTCCGTTTCTGGGTCAGTTTTTAAAACCTTGCATGTTTCTTTAATTATCTTATTAAATAGTTTAATTAGCCATAACAAGCCTACCTCCCCATACCTTTTTGCACTTCTATTAGAACCCCATTAGGTTATGACACCTTTCTCTTCTTTGTCTTATTTATTGCTTCCTTCACCTTAGTAATTCTAATTTCACTAAGGTACATGCTATTTCTAATCTCTTCCTCATTAGCACCCTCTACATGTTATTCACTAATAAATTTTCAAAATAGTTTTTTATCTTTCCTTGGTTTCCTTATCTTGTACCTCTTTAATGCACTTAACATGGTTTAAACCTCTACATTTCATTTCTTGCATATTTGCTAGTTTCTAAATTCTATTTTGCCTCTTTAATGCCTAATTTATGATAGAATTCATCATATGCCATAAATTTAACTTATTTTTGTAAAGAGACTGGGCCGAATGGGCCCTAACAGCCTTTCTTGTAATATCTTTTATTTTATGTAGATGGGCCACACTTAATGGGCCTGTTATTTATTCTTGTTTATTTTCTTTATGTAACTGCCAAGCTGGCCGCCCACTTAAGGGCATTCTTGTCATCATTAATTTTTTAAATCTTAATAAAATAGGGTTAGAGGAGAAGGGAGAATTATTCGAC